CCCCAGAGAGCAGACCCGCCAGCAGAAACTCCAGCTACCGTTCAGTGATGAGCTACCGCACCCACGCTGGGGTGCAGTACAGCTCTATGAGGAAGTATCTACCCAGTATCAACGGGTCTGGCCGCAGTGTCCCCTCCCCAGGCGGGAGTGTCAGGATAGCACAGCCCACTGCTGCAGGGGACAGTCCTGCTCCCCTCCAGTATGACCATCAATATGGATACCCTGTGTAACTACAATCCATATGTATGAAAGACTTCTTTATTTTGATATAAATCTTATGAAGAAAAGACTTTTAGGAAAAATATCAAAGAATACTGTATGTAAATGTGTGTATTGCGAATGGTGCAATGCAATATGGGAGTACTGGAATATGATGACTGGGGACTCTTAAAATCTCACCTCGCCTCTTGGACAAACATAAACTGGCTGGTTTAGCACATCACTGCTACTGCGAACAACAACAGGGTTTCATAATCTAAGCCATTACTACACTGATTAACTCGAACTGTTTTGTAAAATGTATATAGTTCAAATCAATTTTTATTTTGGTACTATTTTTCTATGATGCATATATAGTTCAGTCGGTTTCTTACTTTTTTGTGGAAGACGAAGTACAATAAAACATTTTTTAACAAGGAGAGTAGCATAGAAATCCTATTGAGGGTTCACTAAATATTTATATTTTTGTATCATGGCTCCATGTTTTACTGCTTAATAATGTCTGGGCTGACAAAACATAACAGAATAATATCTGAAACATACAGTATCTCCAGCTCTGAGGATGCAAAATGTATTAACATTCACTTCCTGAAATATATAAAAGTTAATGAAATGAGCAGTTTTGTTTTTTGTTTTGATTTTTTCTTTTTGGCATGTTAATAAAATCTGACATTTTGTTTTCACGTGCAAAATTAGGCATGGTTATATAACAGTGTAATTATTTCTGTGGTCAGAGATTCAAACAAAACTTCATTAGAGAGGATCATTATGTTTTAGGAGTTTGGCGAGTACATTAAACATGAACATGGTGCAAAACGAAGTGTTAAAATTCTGGTCAAACACGATCAGACAAACAAGACTGGCTATTTCAAGGAACGGAACTCAACTCTCAGCTGCCTGTGACTCTTCATTATTCAAGAATACTGAAGTCAGTCTTACATCTGATCCTCTTAGGTGCATTTGCCTTCTGGAATTTTTTTTTATTTGCAGAACAAAGTGCTGCAAAATTGCATTGCTTGCAGTATGTGTTGATTGGCCTGATGCTATCCTCAAAAGGTGTGTGTTAAATTAATAAGACCTGGTTGGTGGGCCCTAAGAAATGCTGCCCTGGGCACTATGCTGGGCATTTGTTTGGAAACAGGGATACACTTTCAAATGATTAGAAATAAAATGCATCATTAGAAATGCTGCCATCCTGTTTAAATAAGCTTTTCTTAAAAGACAAAGTGTGTATCCACCAGAAGGCCCAGTTCTCTATGTACAAAAGCCTTGTTTTTTTGTCCTTTGATCCATGCATGGATTGGGCACATAGATACAGAAATTAATTACAAATACTTCTCTGGTAACCTCATTTGGAAACCACAGTTTTTTCTTTTAATAATGTTTCTTAATGGGCAGAACTTTTAACATGGTTGGCTTCATAATATTTCTGAGAAAGCAAAGGCTCTCAAATGTGTGTCCCTTGAAAAGAAGTTTTCTTATACTGTGGTGCAGAAAGGCGGAATCTGGCCTTGAAATCTGGACTGAAATAGTTTAGTATATAATTAACTTTTCATTAGAGCAGTGATGAAGAAACCTGTGGATGAGGACACTGGAAAGCCATAATAACTACTTGTGTAATGAGGATCATGTTTGTTTTGTCTGATAGTTGTGTATATAAATCAAGCAAACAAGAATAAAAAATTTAAATATAATTTAAGTCAGCATCCTTTGAAGCGTCTAAGTTCGTGTCCTCTATAGCAGAAAGTAGAGCGATAAGGTATTGTGTTAGCAAGGCTCCTGAAGGTGATTCAAAGGTCATTTGCTTTTCTTATCAGGTAAATAGGTAGGTGCATGTGTGTGTGGTTTGGTTTGGTGTTTGTAAATATCTGACAAAACTGCAGGAATAATGATTTGCATGTAGAGCCTGGTGGTGGTGTGCAGATTGGCTGAGCTGTCACGCTGCACTAATCGACATACAGTATAGTCACTGGATACTGATGATGAGCACACATATCCTGCCCACCTCGCATCCATGCAAATCCACCATCACCACTACCTGTGGTCATAACTGATGCAAATCATTCCCAGTACTTATATATAAACTCCAGCCAAGGAACACTTAACTCCAAGGACTTCACCTTGCTGTGTGCATCCTGCAGATGACTCCAGGCCAGGATTAAGACTAGGGTAAACAAAACAAAACGAAGGGTCCTACAGGTGCATCCAAAGATACTGAGTCAGACAACGGATTGTGGCAAACAGAATGTACATGTAAGCAGAAGCCTTGAGTGGGATTCCAAGTGATTAAAAGCCTGATCTGACCCAAGGGAGCTGTGTTTGAGGTAAAAATGGAAGATGTTTCTTACCCTAATTACGTTCAAATTCTTGTCTCCACCGAAACTGCAGATTTCACATACATTTTAAATAGAACAGATTTTAATTGAGCCCTTTTGGATTCATTTTATGTTTTTCAAATGCTAAATGTGCAACTGTTTTCCCCCAGGCCCCGCTGACAAACTGCAAATGATTCAGCTCTGTGTCAGAAATGAAGAATCATCTGGTTTGGAGTGTGCGTGCATAATTTTCCGCCTCTTGTCTTCTCTTTGAGCACAGCGAACACAAAACACTTCAGAACCCCACACAGAGTGCTGAGTGGTGCACAGGGGTAGAGAGACTAACTTGTTCTCATAAGAGTTCACACTGTAGATGTGTTGGAGGTAAAGATCATCACTATGTTTGGGGAGAATAAGTTGACCCTCTGGGTGATGACAGGGCTGCTGGCCGTCACCACTGTCTTCTTTAATGCTTATATCATCTTGGCAAGTTTTTTTAGCTATAAGCAGAAAAAGCACTGGTGTCCTAGTGACATCATCAACATTGCTCTGTCGGCAGCCGACGTGGCTCACCAGTTGGTGTGTTACTTCTGGATGACAATGGATGAAGTGGACAGCGAGTGCTACATCGCAGAGATGCCCTACGATGTCATGCTGCTGATTATCTTCAGTCTCAAGTTTACCATCATGTGGGACACCAGCTTCCTCACTTTCTTCTATAGCACCAAGCTGGTGAGCACACCTAATCATTGCTACACACAGATCCAGGCCGCCATCCTCAAGCATGTGACCTTAGCCGTTTTTGTCATCCCTCTGTGCGGCCTGGCCACCTCCATGCCGATGCTTGTAGTGTTTAATGCTGCCAACCACACCAAAGTGAGCAGAGACTGTAAGCTGTTACTGCTGAACACACACCCTGGCCAGGTTTATGGAGTCATTTACCTGCTCCTGGCTGATGTACTGCCAGGGGTGCTCATGGTGAAATGCTGCATCTCCATCTCCTACCACCTGAACATCCATCTCCGCCACATGAAAGCCATCACCAACGGAGCCCACTGCCCAAAGCTGGGTTCCCAGATGAGGGTGATCCGGATGGCTTTATCTCTAGTGGCTGTCTTTGCCCTCTTCCTTGCGATCGACCTGTACGTACACTACTACATTATTGCAAACCTTGAGAATGAGATTGTGCTCACGTTCTTCTTCATGTCCGTCTACACAACTGTCACCGCCATGCTGTTGATCTATGGGAAAAAGACTCTCTCAAAAGCTCTTATACACGACGTCAATGTCTGCCTGGATGAATATCCATATTTGTCTTGTCTGAAGCTGCCTGAACACAAAACTAAACCCAGCATTCATGCACAAGTTAAACACTGAAAAGCCATTTTGCTTCACAGTGGAGGTCTTTGTGCTGAAATCAGTTGGTCATTGTCTGGACTTATTAAAAACTTTGAAGTAACTTATTCTTTTTATCTTTTGTGCTAGCAATTTCAGTAATGACTACCACCTGGCTGTATCCATTAATTACAGTTTCTTACATCAGTAAGTTATTTTAGCTGTTACCAGCGCACTGCGCTTTATCACAAGAGATAAATTCCTCATTCACTGTTGCATCGTAGTATATGAATACCTCATGTTCAAGCTGAGCTTGGGGGGACTGCTTTCAGATACTGTGCTTTGGAATGAGCTGCAGAAAACTGTGAAACTAGAATCTCTCGTGTCACTTTCACAGCTTCACCTGCAGTTGTTTTTTGTAATGTAAAACTGTTTTAAGTTGTGTGTGAAATGTGTGCATATGTTTTTCTTATATAGATGTCTCCCTTCATCTTAATGAGACTACCCGCTTAAAGAACAACTAAAGTAGAGGTGTTCAAACAATGCACAGATCACAGCAGCCAGGTAGCAAGCTGCTCCAAATCACAAACTCATCAGAGTGCACCTATGAATTTTAATATTTCATTAAATCAAATAATAGTCAGCCCTGTAAAACAGGTCTCCAAGCACGGTTGCCTGGACATGATGTAACATCGTACCCATCCGTAGATGTTAAAAAATACATGCCACAGTGGTGAGAGTACAAAGCATATTAATAAAACAAGAAGGTGTACGCAACCTGAATTCATTTTTCATCACAGATTTTTTTCTCAGTCAGGCGACAGATGACTGAAGCTGTAAATGGGGACAGTGCTTGTAACTGGACGGTTTCCAGTCCAAGTTCCTGTGCTTATAATCACCACTTTCTCTTATGTGTTTCTTCATTGGTCTATTGTTTGCCTGCACTCGACAGCTGCTCCCAGGTGTGATTGCACCTAAGCGCAACTGTGTGTGGGGGCATATGTGTGAGGGCGTTCCTGAGTCATACCAAGCAAACTTCTGAGTAAACAGAAGTTTAAAAAAGACACGCAGCAAACCTCCTTGCAATGCTTCATTAGTTCACACCCTCTGGCACCACCTAGTGAGGTTCGAAGTGGAGACGCAATAATGCAGCTAATCCCATTACACAAGGAAGCTCCAGGATCTCTCCAGCAGCCACATGGACAAAGTAAGAAAGGGCAGATTTTCCTCTGGTGCAGGGGAATTAAGCTGTTCCAAGGCCAGCTTCCATCCTGCTTGCCCGTCTCTGGAGAGAGTTTGGTTTAGCGTGTCCGGGGGAAGAACAGAGCAGTATGACACAACACTGGGCAGCATGGACGCAGTACTCATGATGGAATATTGTTATCTATCTTTATGCTTCTTTCTTTAGGAAATGACAGTTGTGAAATTATTTACATCATTTACAGTGTAAAAGTACTCCATTACCAATAAAGGTCCTTCAGATTCCGCTTAAGTAAAAGAACAGCAGTGTTAACAATGAAATGCATTTAATGTATCATAAATGAAGGCACTCATTCAGCTGAAAATTACTTCTATAAATCAAATATTATTTTATATAATATTACATTTTATTGATCTCAAGGGAAATTCAGGTGATTATAGCAATAACAAAGAACAAAGTTCTGTTAACATAAATTTGTATTCATTTTTTTTATGAAATGTTGGCTAATTATCCATATTATAATTAACCAGCTGAACAGTTCCCTTTTTGGGCCTTAAAACAGCTACGGAAACAAAACCATCTGAGGTTTCAAGAGTAAATGTCTCTTCAGTAGATTTGAGTGGATGTGTAACAAGGAGCTTGGCAGTTTTGCATTTTTGTAACAGGTCACAAACCAAAAAGGGTTTGAACCATTGGTTTAATTTTGAATAAGAAACTATATCATATTACTTATAATATGCCTTATGTCAAATCTAAATGTGAGAAGTAGCCATCAGAAACCTGTAGTGTAGTAAAATGTAATTATGCCTCAGTTCCCTCTGAATCATTGTGAAGCAGAAGTAAAGAGGAACATAAGAAGGAAGTACAAGTACCTAAAATTGTGCTGTACAAAGTACAGACCGACATTTATTTAGTTATGTTCCACCACAGGAAAATAATATAGTAATAAAACTGTTTTCAATTGAGTGCTTTCTGAAGGTAATGAAAACTGTGTGTGTAGGTGTGTGTGTGTGTGTGGTAGAACTACCCAAATTTAGACGGTGATGTGTCTAACTGATTTATTGTCAGTTGAGAGGAGGCCAGAAAGACACTGTGATGTAAACAAAAGGTAGGGGACAGTTGTAATTCATGTCCTCTGATTCTGCACAGCATGAAAGTGTAAACATGTCTACACTGAGATTGTTTCCATGGAGATGTTCCTGAAGCTGGCACAGTTGCAACACTGCTTTCCTTGCATGGGTGAACATTACATCAAACAGTCACCGCTCCTGTGACTCGCAGGAGGAGCGATATCCTGTACCTCACTACCTGACAGGAAGGAACAGGCCATTAGCAATCCAGATTAGCAAGACCAGCACCCACCACACAACTCCTCCAAACACCTCAGACTCCTCCCTACAAACGGCCTCCCAAGACAATGTCTCTTTCGCTGAAGCTGATACAGGAGCATTTTTCCACACCTGTGTTTATTACAAAATCACCAGTTCGTTAGATGTTTTGAGCTTGAATGGGCAATTTCTCATGCTATCAGCAGCATCCAAATGACTGTGTGCAGGTGCAGAGTTTCCAGTGAGGGCACAAAGAAATTTACTATAGGGTCAGAGTTAAAAGATGACGTTTTTTTGAAAACAATCAATGGTACCAAAAAATGGGATCTGCTGGTGTTTCAACAGGTTTTTATTTTTGTTCAGTCAACAACAACTTGTTCATTAAAAAAAACAAAAAAACAAAAACAATCATGTATCTCTTGAGGCACTGTTTGTATAAAATTTCTTTGTCCTCGTTAGGAAATGTGTACAGTTAAAAAAAAAAGTTAATCCCTTGTAAAACTGAAACCAAAATCCTTATATAAATTTGATCATTTTCAAAGGTGCTAACATGCATAGATTTTGCACTTTAGAGGCACATAAATGTATTGCTTCTATGAACAGCGCACAGAGCAGTATGCTGGAATTACAATCAAATTAAAATGCATAAAAATAAACCATCTCTGTACACACCAGGTGTGCCAAGTATTGTAAATATCAAAACTCAATGAATAGCAATAATTTAAATTTCAATAATGGCTTGATAAAAAAAGATACTCTACCAACACTAAAATAGAAAACTAAAGTGAACTTCAAAGGCATTTATGCTTGTACCATACAGCGTTTAGGATTCTTACAAAGGAGCAGTTTGCAATTTTGGGAAATGTGCTTATTCACTTTCTTACTTGATGAGCTGCACATGTAGCGAACAGACATGAGACATCAAGAAAGCTAATAACCCTTTCCCCCCAAAATTTCAGACTACTCCTTTAAGCAGAAATGTACTTCTACTGTACACCAACAACAATGTGATGCAGTTTGAAAACAGTCAGTTCATCAATAACATCACAACAAATATATACTCTGTAGCACATTCATTAATGCCATCCAGTGTTTCTGAAACTTTGTGGATTAGAAAAATTGGGTCTGATCATAACATTAGTGAACACCACCATCAAACACAAAACTACATTTCAAAACATCATTTACATTCTGTACATCATAGCTATTCCCTGCTCTTGATCAGGCTTGACATGCAGCTTTTTCCTGTTTAAATATGGAATGCTGTAAACACTCAGGGGGGAAGCAAGTAATCCAGTGTCACTCCAACATATAAAAACTAAATATTTGCAGCATTGATCATTCTTTTCCCCTGTGATAAAGTCTGTACAACATACTGATTTTTCTTCAAGAAAAAAGGCATCTAGTCTTCTTGTTTTATCAATGCACACCGAATCCAAAGATGCAGCGACCTTATGTACCCAAATACCATCCATTCTTGCACAGCAGTACCCTGTTATGACAATAACACCACATTTATTCTTCCTTGAGGCTTAAAAACAACAGCTAAAACTAAGGAACAAAGGCCTGCTCAGATTTAAGTCACTTGCATCAGAAAGAAATTTTTACCCCTGAAAATCTTGCATACATCCCTCGTAAACTGTCCTGCATCTGTACCCTACTGTGCCATTTTCTACAGTGCCACAAATTAAACTGTGCTTTCATCACAGCATATCAGAGAATTAGTGAAACTTTAAGGCCTGAGCGTAGGTGTAGCCTTACTGGGGGGTATGCTCGTATGTTGGGAACATTGACTTGCGAGCTTTCGGAGGCGGTGGAGGAGGCTTGCTCTCAATTTTCACTGGTAGCGGAGGAGTGAACTGTGGGGAAAGAGATGGAGTTCAAGATAAGACTTCAAATAAAAACAAAAAAACGTTATTTGAACGTTTACACACTATTAAATATGCATTAGTATGGGGAAGCTATTCTCTCTGACGTTTATGTACCTCTGAAGAGAACCCAGGGTTGTCAATCTCGTGCGGGTGTCTCTTCGGAGGCATGGGTGGGGGGGTCCCTGGGGTGTCAATGGTACTGGCATCATTGTCGCTGAGAAGTGATGAATAACCTACCACAAAAGAAGGAAAAAATAACTTTATAGACTGCAAGCCTCTGAATATGTGTGTGACCTGATTAGTGCTACAAATCAGAACGTGCCTGCACCAGGTTAGCAGGCATGATATTCCTCCTGGTTCTGTGTGCCAGGCATATTTTTAAGAGGAAAACAATGATGACATGCAGTGTGATTTTTTCAAAGAGGTATATATATATTTTTTTTTTTTGCTACATACTGGAGCTGCGTGGTGTGCGTGGTGTGTGTGGAGAGGCAGGGAGAGGGCTGAGAGGGTTAGACAGGTTGAGTTGGGATGAAACACCGTGGAACAGGGAGAGGGTAAGCCGTCGGTCTCCTAGTTGTAGACTCTTTGGCCTCTGCTGCTTTTCTGGAGGAGTCTGAAAGAAAAATGAAAAACTGAGAAACAGGCATCTATGTAAAACAAGTCCAGCATAAGGGAACTATTCCCAATTCTGAAGTGAATAACAGAAACTGTCTTGCAAACAGCTTCTATAATCATCTGAGTAAAGTACCTTTTACATGGAAATGACAATAGCAGAGCATATATAGAAAAACAGCTCCTGCACATAAGGCCTTACCTCATTTGTGTCTGACTGCCTCTCCAGTAAGACCTGGGATTTGCTCACACTCCACTCCTTCCTGTTCTTTCTAGCAATCCTGTTGTCATCTTCCAAGTGAGACAAGACCGAGGTCCTGCGATCGCTGGGGTGTGACAACAAGGAACTGTTTGCCAATAATTTGAGGCAGAGAAAGAGACAGAAAGATGTACAGTCAGAAAAACAAAGCACTTGATTTGAGTGTTTGAAACAAGCAGTCACTCTATAGTGATGGCAACACAAAATCAAAACCAGACAGAGGGGAACGGTAGGCAAAGCAGGGAGAGGATGCAGGGACTGACTCTTGGGAGGAAATGTAGGAGGGTCCATCTGAGGATATAGAGCCTGAGGAGGCATTGGAGAGGGTTGACACAGTGGACATGCGACGCAGTGTGGAGGACAGGATGTAGGGCATCACCACTGAGCCCACGCGACTCCTCTTCTTCTCCGTGAGAGAGCAGGGCTAGAACACACAAATTGGATTAAGCATCATCAGGAAACCTTGGCAGAGGAGGAGCACAATGACAGGCAAAACAAGAGTTGCAATGGACTGACTAAAGGAAGATTTATGGTGCCGCGCTAATATAATGCACACTCTGCTTAGAATGAAAAGCATTTGATTGGAAAGCAAGAGGGCCAATAGCTTAAGTTGGCACCCTCTTACATTAAATTGAGTTTGCAGTTGGCAACACACCAAGGTTATGACTCCATAATGCTTCTCCACTTTCTCCCGAAGGTCTTGGAAGCAAGTAACCAGACGGTTGTGTAAAGGTTTCAGCTGCTCTGTCGCCTTCTCCCCATGGATGCGAATCCCATCTGCCAAGAGAGGGATCTGGAGGGGAAGATGAACACTTAAGTGTTACAAAACATTGTGTGCTTTGAGGCCAGTATTAATGACAATGATGGTGGAAGGATTTACCTGCAGGGCAATGAGGTGTTTAAGGACCTCGATGTGCTTGCGGTCCTCTGGGTGCTCTTGGATGTATGCGTCTGTAAAAAATGCCTACAGAGGATGAAATCAGGACAAAAATTGGCCAGCGTTTCAAACACACTTATTTAAAATATAGTTGCAGGAAACAATGAACAGATTTCCACAGCGAGACAATGAGGCCACAGTAGTTCCCTTATGAATATAACTTTGCAGATCATAACAGGCCTGAGGCTAGTCAGACGTTGTGCTAATGGAAAAAGGATTTATAAAATTTTGTTTGCAGTTGTATCATTTATGTGCTAGTTATTCATCTGACAGTGTTTGATACTAGTATATTCTTTTCAGAATCAGTTACGTTAGAAACAACTGTGCACACAACTTAACCTGTTTTAGCAAACAGCTATAATCTAACAAACACAATGCAAGTTTTGGAACAGTGAAGCAATTTGTGGGCAGATCTGTACTCTAGTATAGTGGATCTGAAGGTTTCTAGTACTATGTACCATCCAAATATAATGTATTATGCCCATACCGTTGGCAAGACTCGATACATGGCAATGTCAGTCTGTCAGCTGACTGAAATATCTAAACATATATTGGATGAATTTCAGTGAAATTTTGTATGTCGAACTTCATGATCATCAGGGTGACTCCTAATCCCTGACTTTTCCTCTTGCATCACTGGCTGGTTAAAATTTTTTACTTACTCTGAGAAGTATCTCAACATTTACTGAACAGATTCATGGTTCCTTGAAAATGTATATTAATGTCACTGGTGATCTTTTCATTTTTCTATAATCAGATTAAAATGTGAATATGTCCAGTACCAAATACCTGCAAAGCTAATCACATTCCCATCAGTCTCAGCTGTACTTTGTGTTTAGTGCCAATTAACAGATGTTTGATTTATCTGATTGAGAGTTTCAGTGATATTTGTACTTATTTTATGTCTCTGCTTATAAAGTGAGGCAGAGTGCATGTCTGTCTTTAATGTAATCGTTTCAATGATACTCTAAGATCTCAGTCCCAATAAGACGAACCAACTAAATGATGCTGCATATTTTTTGTCTATTTGTGAACTTCAACAATTGATACATTAAATAAAAAAGTCAGACCTTCTCGTAGTTGGAGAAGCCGCCCATGACAGCGGGGTCAACAATGCCACTGAGCATCATGGACAGTGGGTTGATGGACAGCGAGCGATCACAGGCTTGCTTCTGCACAAGGTTACTCAGCTTTTCATTGGCCATCTCCATGGTTTCAATGGCGTTCTCCAAAGGACTGATCTCCTCCTGTCCATTGGGACATGAATTACATGAAGAATAATGTGAATTAGAGGAATATTTAAAGTGAAAGAACCTGTGAAAAGACAAGAAACAAAGCCGTTTGAAGCATCAAAACTTCTTCTTACCACTGAGACAGATTTCACTTCAAACCATTTCAGGATCCCTGGGAAGCGGTATGCGGTAACGTAAGTTGTTCTCTCGATCCACATGGTCTGTAGGGAAGAATAAACAAATACATTATTAAAGGCTGGCATTTCAATGTCTTCTTCAGTCTTCAGAGTGAGATGTGCAAAAAAAGGATCATTTAGACATTTTTTGGAGGGAATTTATGGGTGTGTGCTTACACAAATGAGCTTGATGCTTTAAAAGATTTTAAAAAGTGCTCACTGCAAATTCATTGTCTGGGTCCTTTGCAGCCTTCCTGAAGGGCCTGGAATACTGAAACTGGTCCACCTCATTGGTTCTGTAATAGCTGTAAGAGAACAGGTAAGGACAGCAGTGAGTTAGCAGTTTGACAAGAGAATTGTAAATCCCAGGGTATTCATGAGAAAATAAATCTGCTTTTAAGTGTTCTGGTACCTACTTTAATATCTGCTCTGGAACCCCCTTGTCTTTAAATTGGTGTGGCATGGTGAGAACAGGCTTGACAGTAAAGCACTGGATGTCTGTGAAGTTCAGCTAAGGATAAGACCAAAAATAGCATGTAGGAGCAAACAAAGATAGGTTGTACTGAATCTGATTTTAATTAATCTGTAAGTGTCAAACAAGAGTACGAGTCCACAGTCATGCTAGTAGCTCTGAGAGGCTGTACTAAATTCTAATGAAGTGTGATAACATGGTCATAATGACAATACTAACATGCTGTTATTGAGGTGTAATCTTTATTAAATTCACAATCTTAGTGTATTAACATGTCAACATTTGGGAATTAGTAATCAACACAAAGTACAGCTGAGGCTAATGGGAATGTTATTAGTCAAAATTATTAGTTAGTATTAGTTGATTTGATGAGGTCAATTGATGAAAAAATATGGGATCACCAGAGAAGTTATGATTCTTCCTGAACATGTACCAAACTTCATGGCAATCTAAAAATCATTAAAAAAAAAAAAAAAAAAACATGCACTAGTGTTGAACAAATCACAACTAATGACTAATAGTTAATTCTGTCCAGAAGAGTTGCTGATGTTGTCACCAGGGGGCGCTGTGCTGGTCATCCGGGATGCATTTGGGAACTGAGAGAGCAACTTTAAGCTGAAATCTTCAAGCCACTCATACTCTTTGCCTCTGTAGATGAACATCTTATTCTGCAGCAAAACATTTCAGTGTGTAACACAACAAATGAAACTCAATAAAATGCCATAATTATGATCATACTTTTCATTCGATGAAACTCAATAAAAAGCCATAATTATGATCATACTTTTCATTCAAGTATTCATCCTGACATTTTCTTGTGTCATCAAAAAGCTAATAATGTTGATTTGCATTATTGTACATTGCCCCAAGAAATGCTTCCAAAAGCCAGCTTCTTGCATAAACACAGGTATATGAGGGTTTCTGTTTAGTCAAATAGGGTCACTATTTATTCAAATGAGAAATCATTTTCTTACCCTGAGGAAAGAAGGGAATCCTAGGCCATAATATCCAACAGCAAAGTATTCTGGCTGTGGCCGCATTGCATGCATTATATTTTCATAGAACTGGGCTTGTTTTTTCTGTGACAGAGGACAAAGACAGTGTTAAAGCTGCAGCACATATACAGTATTTTGTAAGCATACTGTTAGTGGTTAGATAATGATATCAATCACAACCTCTTCAAAAGCAAAAAATAGTTGTACTCTCCTTTCTCGTTTATATAATTTTGAGAAAGGTTTATTGGAGAAGTCATATTAAATGGCTAATGGTGAGAGGCTTTATAAATAGATTCTTCATAATGCATTCAAACTCCACAGCATCAGAAGACAATAGCTGGGCAGAAATGATTTGGGTAAATGGGTCAACATACAAACACTTATCTCTTCTTCACTTCCTTGAGTTTGTCTTTCAACCAGCTGCACTCAGCCTTGTACAACTTGTCAGGCTAATTTCAACAGCATTAATGAAGCACTAACAACAAAATCATCCATTTTATTTCAGCTATTTTCATATCAGTTTTTAAAGCTACTTTTTTTTTTTACTGTTTTTTTTGTGTTTGCAGGGCTGGATTACAAAGCATAATATCCTCTTACCAGCAGCTGACTCAACTCCATGAAGTCAAACATGTGGCTCTCATGCATCTTGGCCAGCTGCTTGCCCAGTTCAATGGCCTTCTCCCACATCTGAGAAGACGTGTATCTCTCAGTAAAAAAGTGGACATAAAACATGGACATAAAAACACAGGCGCACAAGCTACAGTCTGCCATCTGGTTCCCGCGGCTGTTCTTGGTAAAACCCCCATCTCACAGATTTGAGCTGATATGTAGCAGCCACAGAGAAGTTCTAAATCCTGACAAAACAAATCGTCCTCTGACTGGTGCGTGAGCTGAAGTAAGGTCCTAATGAGTTTCACCATGCTACCTCAGTGGGCGGGTTTCAGAAAATTTGGGATCAATTATGCATTATGCAAAAAAATAAATAAATAATATAAATATAAAAGTGAACTTCTGCTGACACCTGCTCACATGCAGAGCAGTTAACACTCACCTTGCCCTTATCCAAGTAACATATAATCTCATGAAAAAGCCTCTCTTTCAGCTCCTGTTGGGTCCACCGATACTGGCTGTCTTGAGGTATCAGGTGAGGTGCACAGGGTTTGTCAGACCACTTGGGATGCAAATGAATAAATTCATAAATCAGAACTCAGGTGAGCATTTAGAAGCATGGTGACATTAGCAAAGTCTAAGCAGCTCTGATGTAAAACAAACAAAAAAAAACTTCTGATCTTGATAAAGCTGGAAAAACAGGCACTTTGATATGTCAGAGACCTCCAGTAACTCAGCATGTAGTAGCAGAGTGTAGGCTGCCTCTGTGTAGTTCTCACAGTCCAGGTGCAAATCTCGCAGCTTGTACAAGTATCTGGTTACAAGAGTACATCCGTTAGATACAGGTAGCAATTTGGTGCAAACACCAGATGCCTCATGTCGACTCACCGGATGTAGATGTCCTCCCTCTTCTTCTCTTTGTAGAAATTCTGCAGGAAAAAAGTTCTTAACATATTATGGAAACATTTTCTCTCAAGCAATATGCATGATTAATTGCTCTATGTACATGCATAAATTGTGTTAACTCTGGAGGTAACGGTAGGCACAGAGCATACCAGCACATTGACGGTGCAGCTCATGCGATGCTCAGGACTTTCATCATGTGTGATGGTGCGGTATGCCAGGAGATTTTCCAGCAAGCTGCTCAGCAGCAGGGCCAGCTCCTCTCCTGACTGTGACAGGTATCTGTGGCGTCTGCAGTGGTCCAGTAACCTGCACATATATGCAAATACCCTTCACAGACTACTCTTTATCTGTAAAGAGCTTTCCTAAAGCCTGTCTTTCCTTCTGAAGAGTAGATTAAAGCCTATTTTTACAGTTGTTTGGGACTGTACATTCTGTCCCATCGGGGGTTTCCACTGATTAGAGGTTCCTTACACTTCTGACAGACCATCATGTCCTTCTGGCTACATGAGGACTTTTCAAGAACAGAAACAGAAAGGCCTTTGTTGTATTTTAGCAGCAACCCTATGTGAATTCCCTATTACACAGAACTGGAGGATTTTTGATTTGTGTGTTCTACTAAAACAACATTCAGAGTAAAAGAAATATTTTGTTTGATCTGCTCCGATGCCTTACGTTTTCTCCAGCAGGACTTTGTAGTGCTCATCCCCACGGCCTCCTTCTACCTCTTGATCCAATTTTGTTATGAGTTCATTCTCAAACTGAAAAAATGAGAAGGGAATTTAGAAAAACCCACTATCATACATACACATCAAAAAAATGTCCTAATTAGCCATGACCAGCTTCAGTTGGATTTAAGAAGATGGCACCAAAAGGCTGAACTTTGAGGCAGCTTCTTTAGCATTTTACCATTTCAAACGTGTGTCCGGGGCTGAAGTTGTGCTCACACTGCATCATATCAAAGAAGATGGGTATGGTTGCTTTTCTCAGTTCAGGCTGAGGCACAAGCGTGACCCCCAGAATGGGCCCGACCATGGCTGGGATGAACTTCATTTTGTGGGGGCCTGAGGGACAACAAAACATTATCACGCAGAAATATTGTATGATTTGCGAAGGCAATAGGCTGTGTCTTCATTTCTCAACAAACATATGACAAATTTAATAATGTGCCAGGCAAAACAACAACACAGTGTGAAACTGGACAATAAAAAATATTGTCTTGCTATTCCCCTGGCTAGCAGGCACTGAATAAACAACTCCACAATCACTATGATAATAGCAGGATTATCAGATGGTAGAAAGAAAAAAAAAACTCACCAAGATTGTACCACATGTCTCTCATTTTAAATCCCATAGGCTTCCTCATGTCTCCATATCTGTGGCAAATTCAAATTAAAGAACTATCACATCAAAACTATTTAAAAAAAATCTTTTGATGAATTGTAAACGATTTTACTTGTTCAGTATCTTATTCCGTTTCTCTTGAGAGAAGGATTCCAGCTGCAATGTGCGGTGGGTTAGAAACGCCACGGTCAAATGAAAGTAGTTATTCCACAGCTGTGAGGGAAGAAGGGATTTGAAATATTAATGTCATAATTACTTTCTCATAACATTAGCAGTTGATTTTGTGTTTAATATACAATGTAACCTCTACCGAGGCGGGGGAGGATGAGACACACCTGTAGTTCAAAATGTGCTTGGTCCAAAAAATACGTGTTGAGGACGTCCGAGTACTGGTTGATGGCCCTCTGGAAGACCTGCATCTGCACCAGGTTCATGGTCATCCAGTCAGGAGGGAAGACATTATTTCCCATGAGGTCCTTAAACATGATGAATGTCTCCATGAGGAAGTCCTAAGAGCAGAGAGGAAGCTTTACTGTAGTTGTATGTTCATATGTGCACTGTGGCTATAAGGAAATGCAATTAATTATATACAAAAGAACAGAAATCAAACCAAGCTGATCCCCATCAGTGCTGCTACACATCAGGCACACATAATGCTCCCCTAGTTAAATGGAGGCCCACTGACATCCTCATCATGTCGGTCCGATCCATGGCATGAAATGTCTATAATCAATATTCTCTTAAGGAGCAGCAAGTGGCCTGGCTGGTTTAATGCCTGTTATTGATGAGATGTTTCAGGACAAGATGTAGCCAACAGGGGGGGAACTAGGACACTTACAATGATATCCTGTCTTGTCTTAAAGGTGCTGATGTAGTGGGCATAATGCATGTCATCCATTTGCTTCAGGATCGCCGTCATGCAGGAGAGATAGTGGCCCTGCCGCAGAGAAGTCCCCCATTACTCAGGATTTTGCCGTAAAAAAAGCCTTCGAAAAAGCTGCATTTACAGCACATATTTTTTGTTGTAATCATGCTGCTGTATTTAGTTTTGGCTCTTAAAATACTGGTATATTATTATATTTAGCTGAATATTTAGATGCAAGTATTATAAATATTCAAGTGAATGCTGAGATGTATTCGTCAAGGACATTTCAGGTGCAACATTACACTGTGTATTACAATGAGAGGAGAGTTTCTGTCCATGCCGATGACAGTCCGATTAACCCTGCGAAGAAGCCGCTCCATTATCAGCTGAATGTGCCCTCTGGTTGGACCCTGCACACACAGCACAGCTTCACATAGTTACCAGTCGAAACACAGCGACACAGACATGCTGCAGTCTGTATTAAGTGGCCAATTTACCCAAATTTAAAAAAAACAACCATATTTTTATCTGTTATTTTTTCTGCTGATTTCACTTGTCCACATTTTGAGATACTTGTCTTTGAGATTTCTCCCTCAGCAGAAGGTTTTCCTGGAAACACTGTTGCAGTTACTCTCCACTCTGTCAAACATTTTTTCAGTTTCTTCGGCAGACAGAAGGAAAGGTTAGAGCTGAAACACTTTGTCAATTGGCAGAAAATTAATCTACAACTAAATACCAAACATTTCATGCTACCAGCCTCTAAACTGTGCGGATGTGTTGCTTTTCTATGTCCTGAATTATACACTGATCAAAAAATATTTAAGGGAACACTTAGTCATCACTCTATAACACCAAGTCAGTTAAACTTCAGGGATATCAATCTGTCCATTTAGGAAGCACCAGGGGTTGTGAATCAGTTTTACCTGCTTTGGTGCAAATGAAAGTGACAACATTTGCAATAAAGAGGCAAAAGCAAGACAATCCCCCAAAAAGGGAATGGTTTTGCATGTGGTGGCCACAGACAGGTGCTCTCTCTCCTTATCCTTCCTGATTCATCTCAGGTTTTGTTTTTCTAGAGTCCTTGTCACTACTGGTAGCATGAGGCAGTACCTAGAACCCAATCAGGTTGCACAGGTAGCCCAGTTACTCCAAGATGACACATCCATACGTAAGGTTGCAAGAAGGTTTGCTGCATCTCCCAGCACAGTCTCAAGAGCACAGAGGAGATACCAGGGGACTGTTACACATGGAGAGCTGGACAGGGTCATAGAAGGGCAACAACCCAGCAACAGGACCAGTATCGGCTCCTTTGTGCAAGGAGGAGCACTGTAAGAGCCCTACAGGATCACCTCCAACAGCTACTGGTGTGCATGTTTCTGACCAGACTGCCAGAAACAGACTCCATGAGGGTGGCATGAGGGCCCAATGTCTAGTATAACCTGTGTTAATAGCCCAACACCATGCAGCTTGATTGGTATTCGCCAGAGAACACTAGAATTGGCAGGTCCACCACTGGCACCCCGTTCTCTTCACAGATGAGAGCAGGTTCACACTAAGCATGTGACACAGCATGAAAGTGTCTGGAGCCGCCATGATGAAAGGCCACACAGACCTCTATGTCACAGCCAACAATACAATGACTGCTGTGAGGTACTGAGATAAAATCCTCACAATATCTGTCAAACTTTATGGAGGTGCAGTAGGCCCTAGGTTCCTCCTGGTACAGGACAATGCCAGGCCTCATGTGGCCAAAGTATGTAGGCAGTTCCTGGATGACGAAAGCATTGATACCACTGACTAGCCGTACATTCTGCTGACCAAAATCTAGTTGAGCACCTATGGAACATTATGTATCAGTACATCTGAAGCCACCAAGTACCACCACAGACTGTCCAGGAGCTCAGTGATGCCCTAATCCAGGTCTGGGAGGATATCCCTCAGGACACCATCCACTGACTCATCAGGAGCATGCTCAGACGTTGTTTGACGTGCATACAGGCATGCAGGGGGCCGTACATACTTCTGAGTCGCATTATGAGTTGCTGTGATAAAATTCATGCAACTTCGATGAGGCTCTGATTTCAATCTCTCACTTAGATTTTCAGTGTGATTTTGAAAACAGCCTCCATGTGTTGATGATTCTGGTTTCCGTTGACCATTCTTATGTCATTTTATTCTGAACAAATTATACAACGTACATTAGTAAAGGTATTTAACTTGAATAATTTGTTTAATAAGATCCAAAGTGTGATGCAAGTGTTCCCTTAACTTTTTTCAGCAGTGTAGTTAATATCTTTGTGCTTTGGACTGTAAGACAAAAAAAAATAATCTGTCACCTTAAATGTTAATATACTATGATTGGACATTGTCACTATTTTCTAAGGTTTTAAACATTAAATAGAGAAAATGATTGGCTTGTTGATGGATAATAAAAAAATAACTGCCACCTAAAAACAAATCAATGAAAACTGCTCTCAGTGAGGATTATCCAAAGTAGCTTGAACACCCTCTCTAGAAACTGATGTTGCTGTTGAAGCTTTTTAACTTTTAATTTCCATTACTATGAGCATCACAAGCAAAATTCCATTCACCTCCATTATACTGTGGAGGTGGCTGAAATTTCATAGACTGACTCAAATGCTTCTTTTGGTCTAGGTTGCAGTGTCAGTAGGCTAAGCAGAGTAGCTACATCCTCTTGTGAGACACAAAAATGCTCCCAGGCCAGATGGAACATGTATTCCTTCCAGCATTCCAGCAACCGGAAAACCTCTGAAGAGGGGTGTAAATTACCTCAGATGGGTCCTTTCAATGTAAGACAGCAGGGGTTTTACTTCAAGGTCCCCACATATGTCTAACTCTTTACCCTGTAATGATGATCCCTCCTGCTGAGAAAAATCTATCTGACCGTTTACACTTCCAATGTATGTGTCATATGGTTAACTGAAACTCCTCACCACATCCTTGCGGTCGAGGTTGTCCAACACTGTGCTGAGCAACTGGACGCAGGCCTCATAGTCAGGTTTACTAGAGTGGTCGTCCAGCTGCCCACTCAGCTGGTCAGTCACAAGTGGCAGAAGCACATCTCGACACTCTGAAGCAACACAGTAAAGAAATACAGCTTGCTGGATCGCACACGCACACACATTTCTTGTTTAATGGAAATGGCCTGACAAATTTGAATGTAGGTGTAAAAGTTTCTTTTCCCATTTGTCTTGTGTGAAATGGCATTATGTGGTGTTTGAGCCTCAAGGACTCCTACCTGGCTGCCTGAAAAGGTCACTCTCCACCATTTTGCACATGCAGCCAAGCTTCTGACGCATGAGCTGAGAGTCAGGAATGCTTGCAATGAACTTTGCTAGAAGAACACTGAACAGAGAATGAAAGAAAAGAGTCAAAAGAGCAGCTGTGACAATTTCAATGCTATTCATATTTCACATCTAGTAATTATTGTCATGGAGAACTAATGAGCAGCACACATGACGGGTTGATTTTACAGCAACAAGCATGGAGAATAACACCTCCTTTTACTCAGAAGCAAATATGATCATTTGCACTGAGACAAGCAATTATCCTTTCCTGTTGTGCGAATCCTCTAGAGAGTTACCTCAGCTCCACAGGATCAAACACAGTCTGGATGTCATTAATGATGCTGGGGAGGTATTTCAATATTGCACCCTGAAAAGAAGCAAAGAATCAGGTCTCATCAGGTTGAAACATGAAAGTGTTTTTTACTCTCAAGTAAAACAAGCTTTTTACTAGATTTTTTTCTCACCTTACTGAGACCGCCAACACAGAGCCCACACTTACTCAGCAGTTAATTTGTAAGATTTTTCAAAAACTTGCCCATAAAACTGTAACCTGCTTTCACAGCCTGCTAGGTGCTGCAGTTATTTACATGCAAAACAAGAAAAACGCTAAGACTGACAAAGAAACAATTTTCACAGTCTGACGAGCTGCATTTTAGTTTTATTTTTAAGTAGTATTTGGGGGATTTTTCCACATTTTTCAGTTGCGACACAACAAAAATAAAACCCAGAAACCAGAGACATCAACCAACCATACTTCTTTGGTTTACCTTTATCTTCACTCCCTCATCCAGCGGTCTGTCCATAAGAGTGTTAAAAGACAGAAAAAGGGAGCGAATGGAGTTGAAGAATGCATCCCCATCTTCACTGTTCCCATAGAATCTAAGAATCAAGGCCAGGTGTTACATCACAACAAGAAGTCATCCTTACAAAACGAGAGTGCAAAGTGGTTTCTTATGGAGCAGTGCTTCTGATACCTGAGATAGAGGACCCGGGACTGCACAATAAACCTGAACAGGTACTTGAGAGCTTTGAGTGCTACGTAGAGCCTCGTGGTCGAATTGGGCTCTTCAGCGTGGCTCACGTAGTAGTTAAGTACCCTGGTTAGCTTCCTGAGAAAGTAAATGAGTCAGGCATCAGGGTCTGCTGGTAATTTTTGGTGTGGGTGGAAAAGAAGAGCAAAAGAAGCACTAAAAATAAACAGCATGAAGAGGTGTAAGCCATCAAAGGTGGAACAGAGACTCACATGTAAGCCAAAGTGGCACTGAAGTGCTGGTTGATATAGGTTTCTAGGACTGGATTGAAGTGCTGGAATTTGATGTCACCAATAAGTGTGATTACAAACACCTGGTTATAAAAAAAATGAAAAAAACAAAATCAGAGCCTCATCTCAGCTGAAACAAAACACATACACTCACCGGCCACTTTATTAGATTCATCTGTACAAATGTTTACAATTCAATACAACACTTCCGCCTTCACATCTGTGTTTATCACGCTCAAAATGTTTACATTTCTGGTGAAATTGTCAAATGTGTAAATTCAATTATATGTTTATTATTAAGGTCATAGTTAAAGGTGGTGTTGTACTGGACTACATTATATTCAGAGGTGTTCCTAATATTCTGACCTTCTCATGTATGTAACTGGGGAGGACAAAAATATAGACACCTCTAAATATAATGTAGTCCAGTACAACACCACTTTTAACCCATTAAAAAATGTACAATTTCAATTAGATATTTATAACAGTTTCACCAAAAGCTGAAACATTTTGAGCTTCATCAACACAGATGTTAAGGCAAAATTGCTCCATTGAAGTCATACAATTGAACAGGTGTGCCTAATAAAGTGGCAGGTGAGTGTATATTGTACATCACTGGTTCCCAAACTTTCTTTGTGACCTCTTAAAGTTATAATCCTTTACATAAAATCGCACTGATCTGACACTATTTAAAATCAGTATTATTTTCAATCAATAGCCATTCAAGGTTATTTATATTCTGTGAACTGAACAGAGCCTGCCATTCCCACTCTGGATTCAACCACATACACAAGGGATTCACAGGAAATGATGCCTGTAAATAATCCAGTATTACCGTTCATCGTTTTATTCAGCTGATATCAACCTTACAGTTCACTCTGTTTACACAGTATCACAACTGTATTAAGTTACTACCAATCCAAACAACAAATCATACTGCTGTCGCTTCACATTAAGGGCCAGGTCATACCAGAAAAGAACAAGTCTGTATGAGGTCTTGTCCAACTACGTGCCGTACAAAGGTGCAAGTATTTATAGTTGTTCTAAATGGCCATAATAAAAGGCAGAGTTAAAAGCTGGTCATCATAAAAAGGGACAATACTTTCATACAGTCTCTCCTGGAAGGCATTTATAGTATCACATGCGGCTGATCACAAGAGAACTGCCAGAAATGTTCCTACCTCCGCACATGTGGCAATCACTGTGTGAAGATGATGTGGAAGATGGATTACTGGCTGGATTATTGATAAAACACATAGTGACTTACCATGAATCAGTCACAGCTAATGTAAAGCATTTGTCACCAAGGTTAGCGCTAACTGGAATAGTCCATCAAAAACGCATCATGACCACAGTCATTTTCAGCATTTCACAAGAATGAAGAAAATTTTAGAGAAGTCTGAAATATAAAAATAATTCAGTTTTATCTCACTTCATGCCCTTGTTACCCCTTAGATTCATCCTGCAACCCCTTATTGGGCTCCTGAACCCCAGACTGGGAACAAGGGCTATAATATAATGTAATGCCAGCTTGTCTTTGACCCTTCTGTACTGGGTAAAACAACAACAAAACTGTCACCCACTGATACTATGGCTTCAGTAAAAACTAACCAAGGCATTGAACACCAGGGTATCATAGGTGTCCTTTTTTGAGGTTTCCATCATGATGGTGAACAGGGCATCTAGAGTATCCTGGAGAAACTGCACATAAAACAGAAACTCGTTACAAAACTGCCAATCTATAAAATCTAGCAGAATATTGCATAGTTAATACCGTATTTATGATGCAAACATATAACTCACTTTGACAATCTCCCCTCCATCAACCTCCATCAGCCGCTGCAGGATCTGGTCCAGATCTTCAGGGTTAGACCTCCAGTTCAACAGGCCAAGTAGATCCACTGGAAACACATCAATAAACAAGATAACATTCAACGTGAGCAGCTCATCCTCTCTTACAACATCAGTTAAGGTAACTGTGTTAAAACCCTGAAAAACTTTAAAATAAACCTAATCAGATTTCTATCAATCAACATCAACACATGAGCAAAATATTAGCAACACAGATCAGCTTAATTAATTTAATGGCAGTCTGAGGCGAGGAAACAATGTGGCACTGCACCTCGATCCACTATAGAATCTGTTTTATTTCTTAAAGATGGCTTTATTATCACAGAGTTACAAGATTGGAAAATTGTGAACAAGAGCAATGGTGCCCTGCGGTACCGTTCTGAGTGAGCTTAGTGGAGCAGGTGAGTGTTGCGATCTGGAAGCTGTCTTTAGTCACAGGAATCACTCCTGAATGGTGGAACTGCTTCCCCGTTTGCTTCTCCTTTTCCTCCACTTCAGCCCAGGTCGCTGGCATGGTGAGATAAACCTTAGCATCCTCTGCCTTTTTTTGGTCAACCTAAGAAATTCATAAAAATAGGAAATGAATCATGAAGCATACTCATTGGTGGAGATCTAATTTCATATTTATTAACCGAGTAGAAAGTCATGCATAATCCATGTACTCACTGTCAGCTATTCAAGACAGATTTTTGTGTAATTAGATAAAAGCAATAAATAATCTTGTTTTCAAATGTAGTGAATTCCATACAAAATAAAAAACATGCATGATCCTACAACACCTTATAGACGACAAGTTCGTGCCTGCCGTCCTTTAGCGTGGTCCCATCTCCTCTCATGAGCTGGACAAAGGCCATTCCAAATGGCTTCTCTGATTTGTCTCTAGCTAAAGGATACATAGGAGCATAAGATGGGAACGGATCCATAAAAAGTCACTCAGACACTGTAGCAGGATTACATGTGGGTGTTTGTCATACAAATAAAGCACAGTCACTCACAGTCCTGGGAGGATCTGTGCCGAAACATCATCCTCAGATGACAGCGACAAACATCTTCAATAGGAATTGTCACCTTGCAGGGAGGGGAGAAAAGTCATGGTCATTAAAGAGGATGAGAATATAGGATTATACATACAGAAGAAAAGCTATCCTGTAGGACATTTGTATAAGTAGAACATCCTGAGCTGATATCTTGCCTAGAAGGATATTTCATGAACACTGAGTCACAGTAAATTCATTGGAAGAATTAATTTGAGAACATCAGACTCCATGTTCAGAGCAGAGCTGCCCATGTGGGTCCATGACATGAACTTACCTTCACGGTTTCATTCCAACAAGGTTGCTTCACCTGGTAGTAAATTACAGACTTGTACTCTGTGATGCCATCATATCCAGCACCAGGAAATATTGCTTTCTATAAGAGATTCAGGAGGAAGAATAGTTTCTATGGTAGGAACAATATCAGTTTGCTCTATGATGCCTTTGCGATCAACTTTGGCAAAAGCACCATAGCATAGCAGAAATACAAGAATATTTAGCACATACAGTAGGCCAGTCATATGACCTTCAGAAATAAAAGTCATATGAAGGCAACAGCTGCACTGAACTAAATGACAGCATGCTAATATACTGATGCTGACAATGCTAACATTCTGATGTTTAGCAGGTACAATATATGTTTACATGCTTAGTTGAGCATGTTAACAAAGCTGATGGAAATGACAGTTTTTTAGGTACGTATTTGGTCTTGACTGTGTTTGGCCCTACTTGAAAAATGAAGATATCAAAGTTATTACAGGCCACTGTGAGGCGCAACATTGACTGTCAAATTTAGTGACACCCGATCCCATAGATGTTGAGACATTTAACTTATGATTACAAATGTGATGATGTCACAGCCACTCTCAGAGTCAGTAGAAAACATTGTCTGGGGACAGTGAATATGCTACTGGTCAAAGGTTTTAGAACACCTCCATTTTCCCCAGCTGTTATTGGTGTAATTCAACAGCCACACACACTTGTGGCATTTTTTTTTTCTATAATTGAAATCAAATATTGCTTGAATAGATAGCTCTGTTGCAGAAGATTCCATAAAATGTGACGCACATGTAGGTTGCTTTGCCTTCATTCTCCACCTGGAAAGTCTGCACACTGCTGCCACTCCATCATTTGAAGCTTGCCTTGTTCCTTTCTTCTGCACAGCCTAGAGGTGTTTTGACTACAATGCCATAACAGGTCATTATGCTGCTAAAGGAACAAACCCTGAAAAGGTGTGACCTCATTTAATTGCCTTTTCCCAAATAATACTTCAGAGGGTGTAGTAATACACTGTATACTGTCATTGTACAGAGAGAATTTGCTGTTATAAGTAATTAACAAAAGTTGGGACACCTGTAGGAGTTGCATCAATTTTCAAGACTTAACTTTCCTCCACTGGTGCACAGATTATGTAAATTGACCTATTAATCACTTCTTTTGTCTGATATTTACATACATTCCAGTTTTTTTTTTTTTTACTTCTTAGCTTTGTATTTAAGGTTTACTCTGGACTTTAACTGCTGAAATGTCAATAAAACCTGGAAAAATTGGGGTGTTCAAAAACGTTTGACCGATAGTGTATATTTAAAAAAAAAATTCATAGCAATCTGCCCAAAAGTTGTTAAAATACTAACACAGGCAATGACATTACTCAGATGAATTGGAAATTAAAAAAACAGATTATTTCATGCATTTAATTGGTCTGTTTTACCTCCATGGGATTGCCTTCATCATCATGCACACTCAATATGACCTCTACATTTTTGGGGGTCTTCTTTTTACCACGGTCAAACTCTCCCTGCACCAAGGTTATATAAATATCATTCCTCACGTTTCCTGGAGGAAGGACAACAGATGATCAGGTGGGTGTGCTGAAAACTGATGAACCCTTTTCAAAGTCTGTCAGTAATTAAAATGAACATGGCCATGGCGTATGCACAGTAACAAAGACTTTGACCCACCAGGGAGGATGATTTCTGGAAAGCCCATTTTCCTGACGATAGCCGTGCTGCGGTCCACAAAGTGGGGGTAATGCTTTCTGACTTGGGCAAGATCCCCTGGGAGGAGCTTCAGGGTCACAAACAGCCCTGGCAGCAAACATGTAAGGGATTTCAATGAGGCATATGATGAAAGAATAAAACCCTGTTGACTGCTCACACGTAATTTATTTCCCTCAAAACAAAAAGGTCAATTTAGACCAGTCCTGTATAATCACAGGGGGAGACAATGCCCGTCTGGGAGCACATCATTTTACCCTGGCCTTTGTGATTGACCTCCCGTGTAGCGATGACTTTGTTGAAGACAGCAGTGAGCGGCTCATTCTCTCCAATGACCTTAGATGGGATGAGGGGAGACATGATGAGCTGCCTTTGCCGGATGTAGGTCTCCATAGCTATCCTAGGATGAGAGGCATTGGAATAAGAATAAGGAAAAATCTCAACATTTCTGACAGGTGACAAACAAATTGATGGAAGGGCTGCAAAGGCAATGAGAGGCTTTTGACAAGATGGGATGATTATGATCTTTCCCCACACCCCCCTTTACCTCAAGAGAGTACCAAACCAACACAGAGTTCTAGCATTATACCAAGCTTTACAAACTACAACACAACCTATGTGTTTTAAAATAGACAATCTGATCAGCAGTTAAAACTGATCATCTAATTACATTGTTCTCTAGTTGTCTTCATAAAACTGTCAAATCCAGTTCATGTTCTCACAACCACACATGCATTTCTTTTCTTTGTTTTTTTTTTTCTTTTAAACAGCATTTAAATGCACTGCTCAAATATAAATATCATGAATTAATCCAGGGCTGCATCAGTTAGTCTTGGCTACCAAATTGGATTACACAGGTTTTCTAATGAACTGTGCAACTCACAGGCATAATCATAGACACGGTCATTGTGCAAATCCTCACATGCAAAATATTCTGCCCACTTCTTTTATCCTTTTGAAACAAAACATTTCAATAATCTCAGTAATATGGTATTATAACAAGAAGAATTTAAATGGTACCACCTTAGTTCAGTGTGTTAGCATGCTAACATCTGCAAACATGCAAGTCCCGATGAGGCCAACAGAGATGCTATTAGTTTTGCAGATATACATTATGAAACTGATTTTCTACAGTAAATAATATGTACTGTAGTAAATATGTATTGTGCAACATCTTATATTTTCAAACTGAGTTTACAGGTGAAACTTGTACAACAAACAAATATATACTACATGGGGTGAGACTGAATTGTCAAGTAGAGTAGAGAAAGGACTTATCATACCAAAAGAACACATATCAGATGTGGGGTGTATGAAATGCTGTGGTCAGGAACTAACATTTCAACATTGTTCCTGATTTGCAGGAACCTGTTGTATCCTCTTTACTATACAATATTAAATAAGTTTTCATTATTTTGTATTTTACCTTGTTTTAGGGAGGCAACCAGGAAACCCTGCAGATAATTTCTCCAAGCTAGAATTTGATTTAAGTCATTCAGCTGGCTGTAGTAACTGCACTATTGGCTCACTGTTTCTAAATGAGAAATAAAATGTCAGCGAGCATCAATGACACAGCTCCTTAGAGCTGTCATGCCATTTCAGGGCCAGTGATGAACCTGCTGATGACATAATTTACTCATAAATCAGGAGCTAAACGTTTTGAATAAGTGCCGACCTTTTACAAGACAAATTAAGTGCGTGGATTGAGGTGGCGACTGCACTTAATGTTCTAGGAACTACAACAGTGTTTCAGAGAATGTGCTTAAGCAACTGCAAAAGAAGAACAGTCAAATGAAGCATTAGTGTTCTGCTGTTATTTCAGACTTAGAAATATATACTTTTTCCATTGCTCAATGGAAAATCACTGTTAATGATATATAAATTAATTTGTCAAGGTTAGAAAGCTTAAAAAAACTGTACTGTGGCACTATTTGTCTTTTTTGAAGAGCAGAAATCTAACATATGTGCAAAGAGACACTTTACTTAAGTCTGGTTAAATATATCACATTAGATACAAAATGCAAAATAAACTTCAGAATTTCAGGTTCAAATATACTATATAAAAAAAAATCTATGTTTAATATTTAATCATCTGGATACGAGTCCTGATAAATACTGCGCCCCACCAAAATGTTTCTTTCTCTGTAGCCTGTCAAGATGACACAGTAAACTGTGACACAGGAAGAAAAGAAAAACAGATTAAATCTTGATAAAATTTGGTTTAGATGTCAGGAAGTAGGTGAGATATTTTTGGGGCTCTTCCATCAGGGATCTCTATGAATGTATTATCACCCTCATCCTCCCACTGTGCAGGTGCTATGAAAATATGGCCTTGGAGCCTGTTTTTAACAAGAGTGAACATTCAGCATTGCAAAAAGGTTTTATATTTGCCCTTGCAATGCAACATGGTAATAGTGAATTGCACTGCCTGAAAACAAAACACAGTAAATATAACTTGAGTCCTATCCCAATTCTTTTCCATTGTTCATGCCCTATTGAGCTACAATACAAAACAAGGTTGAGCCTATTTAACAGCAAAAGACTCACTGCTGAAAAGGGATGAAATACTGTTTGTCCTCGTCTGTTTTGCCCTGGGCGATATCTGTAATGTCCATCACTGAAACGACAAAGACATTGGGAGCATTAACGGTAAGGCAGCAGACTCAGGGACCAGCTAGTTTACCAGATGTTTTCACTTTTCCAGTTACTGGCAAACCAGCAAGCTAGTAGCTCTTAAAGTTTCTTTTCTCATTATAACTCTGGAAACTATGTTCCATTTTATAAATGGAAGCCGAGCCAGGTATTGGATCTCACTCACCTGTTGCCTGGCACGACAGACTTCCAGCATAGTAAGACAGATTGAGGCTTCTTGATTTCCAGCTTTCTGAATTGTTCATTCCACTAAGCTCTTTTCCTAAAGTGTTTTTTTCCCCTTGGCTAAGAATAATGTGACTTTCTGAATTAAATGTTTTTTTCTGACTCCGGTTTCAGTCCATTTGCTGGAACACCAGATGAAACCATTTCTCATCAAACCCACTAATCATCTGGCCAAAAACAAAGAGACGACTGCTAAACCAAAATCCACCGCCTCCTTTGCCAACGCAGAATGGAGGCATTTTCTAGGTCAGGAAGCAGGTGCTCCACTTTCATTCACCACACAGATCTTTCATTTTTACACCTCAACAGAACTATTCGTGCAACCACAAAGGAGTGGCATTTGTTTTTTGTTCACTTTTGTATTGCTTAATAAATATTAGCACATGTAAGCGGCAGCTCACCAGCGACTCCAAATGGTCTCCTCAGTCCTCCAGTCCGTTTCTTGCCCTCTTTGAGCTCCATGCTGCCCACTCTGATGATCTGACACACCAGAAAGAGTCGCGGCCTCATCAAGTCGCTGCTGCTCAGGTCCTAAACATATCCACAAAGATGCTTTATAAAGGCATACTGAGTGATAATGTGCATTACACACAAAAGGCATTGGACTGTATGCATTACTAGCCTGTGCACGTTATGCGCAGTCATATGGCTAGAGCTGCAGACCAGATGGCAAATATTACCGGATGAAAGCATTTTGTGTGTTTATTTTCCTGGATCCCTTTTCAAGCTAAAGGAGTTTTGACTTGTGTGCATTGAGGAAATAAATATAACTATTAAATTTCAGCACAATGCTTTGATTAATATAGTTTCATTGCATTCTGAACCAGTAATTCATAGAGGTGCACATGCCTTGTTTGCTTGGAACAGCTGACTGTGTTAACATAAACTGCAGCAATATAATACAGGCCAATGTATTCAAATTTTCAAAGAAATGCCTTGAATGTGAGCCGTTCAGTGAAAATGTCAGTAAATTAGGAGAGATCCAGAAGCAGAATGTCTCCTTTGTCACAGAGTTCTGGCAGCGTTTGGGGTTGTTCAAAATCGAAGCAGAAGGGATGCAGTCATTGGGTTAGGATTCAGTTACCGTGAACAGCGCTGGCAGGTTGTTGAGTTTTTCAATTTCTTTAGGCATCCCCATACTGTCCCAGCGCACCAGGACGTTCTCGCTGCATGAATTTAAATAAGACTCACAGTTAGAGATCACATTAGCTGAGGCATCAGGAGAAATAGAAAAATATAAAAAGCAACTACTGTAAAAAACCCTGCTTTATTTTATCTGTCTAATCAAATAAAACAGTGTCATGAAAATTCTAAGAAGATGTCATATTTTAGAGCCTACTGATCCCTAAAGACCTTTTATTAGAGCAGACATTCTGACTTGCCAAACAAAGGCCAGGCTTACTGCCAAAACAAAGGGGGAACTGCCATCAATAAGAGTATTAGAACCATACTATTTCTGCTGTTAAAATTCAAATTTATGTCTGCTGCAATAAAGGCCTATTGCTTTTCCTCTTGTCCCCTCAGGGCCAGCTGCACAAAAGCCTCCTAGGGGCTGGAAGGGATTGGGTGTTTTCACGTTTTACACCATTAACGCTCATAAAGATGAGCTTATTTGTAATCAAATCTTTTTTTTTTTGTATTTTATAGGTGCTTTTAATCACCTCCATTATTTATGCTGGCACCAATTTTGCCAGCCTTAGAAGAAAGATGTTACTTTTCTATTCCAGCTAACAGAAGGAGCAGCAGCTTACTGTGGCCTCAAATGAGCAGTCTTCCAGCTTTAAGCATTCATTTTAAACATAGCTGAAGCTGCTACTTCAGAGCTGTGCAGACTTGTGTGACTGTTATGCTCAACCTCCAGCATTTTTATTATTCTCCATGGCCACAGTACAACTAACTGAAAACAGTAGCAGAAGTAGTGTACTAGACCGAGCAGTATTTGTAGTATACTGTTATATTAAAATAAAACTTAAATGTTTTCTTAACAATAAATGATCTGTTTTATGACTGACTTGTGTGATACATCAACATCAGTTAGTATTGTACATGTTGATGTGGGGAGCTATGTTTTTGTATTTATCAAGCCAGAACTAACACCACTTTTCCATGTGACATTTTACAGTACAAACATTTCCTGCTTGCTTGGTTCAAAACTGAATTCTGTGTCCTTTGACTATTTAAAGAGTCTGATATTTTTTTGCAACAAAATCCACAAAAGCAGCGACTTACATGACTGGTTGCTAGGTTCAAGTAAAATCATCTAGCAAGTAACCCTCAGCTTGACACCTAACTTGGAATTAACAGTAAAGTGAAGAGCTAACCTGATGAACTCAGACTGGTCAGGGTCATACAGAGACATGAGCAGCTCTGCATCCTCTCCAATGTTGCACACAAAATTTTTCAAAGTCATGAGTAGACTGTAGGTGTGCACCGTACTGAACAGGATCTGCCGTCTCGCTTCCAGGTTTTGTAGCCGTGTCTGCATAGAAACAAGGCCCAGGCAGTGCATAGGCAGATATTACTTGAAATCGAAAGCTACTATGGAAAAAAGTAACTGATAGTATCAACAAATCACACAATCATGCCTTCTCTTCTTGTATCCTGTCATCGACGCTGCGGGATGCCGTCTCGTGTGCCCGGAACAGACTGATCGTACTGGTCCAGGCGGGATCCAGGGTGTTCCCCGTTTCATCTCGCACCACCAGGTCCAACCCCAAAATCCTGAGGAGAGGAAATCAAATGGCATCACATGAGTTTACAGAGCCATGACTCAAGCATATAAAACCTTTACAATGGTGTTTATGTCACAAGACATTTCACTGCAGTACAATCAGTCAGCTGAGCTCATACCGGTTTCCATAATCAATCTTTGCTGTGACTTTCTTTTTGAGCTCTACAAGGTCATCCTTGGGCAGTGTTCCTGACACTATCTGAGATCGATACTCGATGAGGCTGTAGGCCATCTGCTGCACACTCCTGAACCGAGTTGTCTTGTTCGCCTGTCAGACAAACAGGTGAATAGCTATAACAATACATCCGTCACAGGAAAGAAACAAAACAAGATGGAGTTGAAGTGAAGGGAATGAGAGGTGTATAGAACTGTGTGTACTAGAAACAGAGAGGCTGATAAAAGTGAAGTAATCTTCACATACCAGGAAGAGTTTATGCCATATCTGTGCCCATTCCCTCAGAGTAGCCCCGAGCTCCTGGACCAGGGGTAAATCTGCTGGAATAATTATTTCCTGCTGGCTACAAGAAAAGAATAATAAAATACTGGAAAAGTGTCTCATTGCTCATTGCTCATCTCATATAATTTGAAAAAACTTGAGCACATATCTACAGATGATAAACAGTTGGATGGTTTTTCTGCCCAGCCAAGAAAAGCATTACTTAATCCTCACTTGTGATAATTACAAGTGCACTGCTATGTTATTGGCAAATGACAAGGCAGGATAGCTAACCAAAAGCAAAGTGGATTATCACCAAGATGATACGTTTACTGATGTGTGATCTCACCCTATTCCCTCGACTGTAGCTTCCTTCAGGTGAATGTAGGAAGCTGGAAAAATTCCCTGGGAAAACAATGAGGAATTATCAGTATATAAAAATGACAGAATTCGATACGGGATATCAGAGCACTAATGCAGGTCATACCTTTTGTGATTTCTTGCGTAGTGTGTAGCCCCTGTACCAGCCTGAATAGAACAAACATGTTACTGTGCGGAAAGGCAGCGTATGAGACAGGACAGATGTTAGTCCATCCTTCAGGACAATGTTGTAGACTCATTTACATTGTGATGCATAGTACATGAGTGCCTGTTAGTTCTACATTTCATTTAGATTCCAGTGTCAGCTTGCAGAGAGAAGAAAAAGAGGGATGTGTCAGGGCCTGTTGTGTGTTCGGCCTCACTCACCTTCCAATTTCTCAAGTATGTGTACGGTGTCCCCCACCTGTAGACACAGCTCCTGCTCACCGCTGGGATCATAATTGTAGATTGCTGCAGAACAGAGCAGAATTGTCTCATTATGAGAAAGACACTATATTCAGTAAATACTGTTAACAAAGAAAAGGTTTTGGCTGACAGTTTGAACAGCAAGTCTTCTCAATGTCAGGCGTCTTTATTCGTCATCTTACTGCTCTGTCTAAACAGCAGGTTGTGTGTTAGTGTAGCAGGCCCACGTGACTCAAACATCTAAAGCATTCTGAATATTCCTGATTGAAACACATACCCTGAGGTTGTGTGTTTAACATTCCAGTAGATGGACTCAGCTAGAGCAGGTACAGTATCTTCAGTGTCAACAGTGCAAGGCAAAGCTTAGGCGATGTCATCACATCCTCTACATTTCTGCCATCATCACACCACTGTGGCCATTGGTCAAAAGTTAATGCTCTGAGAGTTCTCTTTCTGCCATCTGGATCAACCTCGAGCCCTGCTCTTCTCCGCACACAGTTTTTTTAACAGAACAACATTCCCGGAGGCAGCTCCTGTCTTTCCCTTTTAACTCTCTACCCAGGACACGTTGGGGAGGCATCACACAAGAATATTCCTGTGCGCACAAACACACATCTGCACATATACACAAACACAAAACCCAACAGACATTGCGAAAGAGAAACCTTGGCAAACAATACAGTAGCAAAGGTCTCTGTCATAACGTGAGGGAGCAGCAATACTGCACAGCCACTCACTCTTATGCTGAGATAGAGGAACTAAAAGCAGAGCTCTGCCCTGACTTGCATGGTGATAATGCTTCTTGCTGGAGGCTAGACTTCACAGCACGATTCAACTGGCTCAGCTTATCACACCTCAGACTGAATACCAAAACTTGACAAAACACTGAATGTGACTATCCTTCTCCCTCCATGACTTCCTCCTCACTGATAGATTTTTCTGGCTTTCCTTAAAACACACTGGCAGACAGACATCTCCACAGGGAATCAGTCAGTCTTTAGTCTAAGACTGGGTTTGTGTAGCCGGCCCATGAGCTCATAAAATATTAGGTTAGACCCATGCTGACTATGTTGTTTTAGGATCACCTGCACAGGTCCATGCGAATGATGTCGTACTGTGAGATCCCTTAACCAGTCATCAAAAAGGAAAACAATTATTTAAACCTATATGGGCTCTGAAACAATACAATACCAATGAATATTTTCTAAATCAAAATATGAATTTTCTCACACCACAGTAGCAGCATCTCTTCTGACCGACCAAACAAACCACAGTAATATAAAGAGAAGGTTCAGGTCTACAATACAAACATGCCGTGTTACTGTACTTAAAAAGATGTTGCTGACACACCGTGAATTCTCTTGAAAGAGTATTTGTTTTCACCAGGAACTTATTTGTGCAGCCAGAACAATATTAAATGAAACACGCACTGAAGAAATGACATCTGCCTCTGGTCACGCTGAGAGTGACAATGGTCCATTCACCAACTTGACACAGTGTCCGGGCCTGGCAACAGCACGGCCTTATGCCATGGCAGGAATCCAGTTGAGCATGATGCGATGCCACACTGTCTGAACTAAAGGCAACAGTCTGGGCCTTGGCATTACAGCTCATCTGTACAACTCAAAGATGCACTTTATTGAAAAACTGAGTCTGTACCTGCTGATGCAAATTCAAATAAAGCCTCTATCTGCGTAAGTTCAAGCTAATATGCATACTAATGTTAAATCCAAGTCAGCCTGACTCACTCTAATTGATTTATCATTAAAGTGGATTAGCGAACAATTAAAGAATACCACGGCTGAACAGTCTGAGCAGCTGCTGGCAGCTCAACACAGTAAAATAATAATAATACAAAAGCCAATCTCCTGCTCTCATTATTGACTGTGTGTGACAGCAAATCATAAACGCCTATTCCAAGTTATGGCCATGAAAAAAAAATGAAGAAAATGATAAAACACTGACAAAAAATGGTACAAGATACAAGACTTTAGCAAACAATCCTTGACCATGCAAATGTACAGAAAGACAGGTGGACTAAATTCATTCTCATACTCAGCTGGGAGACAGTTATAGGGCAGACATATGCCATGCTGCACAAACAGGGCTTGATGTAATAAAAAACTAACAACCCTCAATTTAATTTGTACAGTACAGTTTGAAAGCAACATAGAAACCTATTAAAGATATAAAAATAATCAATAAAAAGGCGAGTATTTCGATTAAATTCAATAAAAGACAGGTATTATACACAGACTAGAGTATGAATTTGTGCATATAGTAAGCTGCCATTCAGTGATGAACAGTACCTTATAGTGTATGTCTTGTATTCAAGCAAATGAATTTCAAGTGCTACAAAAAAAAAAACACAGACACAAAGGGAGAAGTCCAATATCTCCACAAAAACTCATTAGGTAAAAGCAAGTCTATTAAAGTTGGTTGTGGAGCCAATTCTCCTCAGGCAGGGCGTTTCAAAACATAAAGACCTCAAGGGAAAAGCCTTTTGCCTCCCATCTAACTGTCTAGACAGCCAGAAACGATCTGAAGCTCTTGAAACTGTGCTGGATCCTTATAGGTTATCCATAAATCAGTGTTAATTCTCACGTTCAAAGCTAATAGCGCAACAGAGGATAAAATTAGACCAGTGCCGACTCATCTTTTAATTCTGGCTAAAAAACCTTGGTGCAACGTTTAACAGAAGGAAAATTACAATTTTCTTATCTAAAGGAGAAAAAAAGTGCAAATGTCTTCATCCAGGTTGCAAAAGAATTATTCTAACAGTATGTTTTAAAAGTCATGACTGACCAACCAATCTGGTCAGAGCGTCAAAACTGATGACAAGGTCAATACCTCTCTCCATTCACCGACTGCAATCAGATTTGACATTGCAAGATGAACAGACAAGCTGGAAATATTGACAGCTTTAGATTTGTTTTGCTAATAAAGCACCTATGTTGCACATAGGCAGAGAGTTTCAAGCTACTGGCCATTTGAAGGAAACGTATCTGCTATGTTTTTGCATAACATCACCAAGCAGAAGTTGTGGCTGAGTACTTGGAACCCAATTTTCACAGTCACACACACATACACTGTACAAGCATAAGTTAGTCTTTATAACCTGAATGCTTGACCGGCTGTTCTCTGAAAAAAACTCAAGGTAATTATATGAGTGCTGCTTGTAAGCAACTGTAGGGCATTCATCTGTGATCATTAGGAGTACATTATTCTACATGTAAACTCCAGGGGTTTGAAGCTATGAACTAAATGTAACATATATTATATTAAAGTCCCCCTCCAGTCAAAATGTGTTTTCCTTACTGTTTCTTATGGTGCAGAGTTTGACAGTAGATGGTGGTTTTCACATTCTCCTGCTGCTGAATGGTGAGAGTTTCTCTGCACTCACCTTTGTCTGAGTTTATTACAAATGATTATAGTCCACTTCTACAAGTACTCCATATAGTTAGCATTACGCTGCTACAACACTGCTGGACTCACGATTGACAGTTTAAAAAAAAAAAAAAGGATAAGATGCACCTCTTCCACTGTGATATTGTAAGCTCTATATTATCCACATTTCCCTGTTCAGTAACATGATATTACTGATATTATCAGACACCTTGCGATCACTTCTTTCATCCTAAAATGTAGTTGCCCGTATTTGAGCACAGCCTAGGTTGACTAATCGGATTAAAAACATAAGACCTTGCACAGGGTCTGATGGCATTTTAAGGATTAAATACAGTGTTTGTGATTCCTGCCCCATTGCTGAGGTGAATGGCAAAATAATATCTAATCTACACAGTCATGCAGAGCAGTAGCTTTGAGCACCATACTGGGATCTAAACAGATTAACAAATAAATAAATAAATTAATAAATATTTTCAACATTAGCTACTAAAACAAGATCATATATGTATAACCAAGAGGGGGACCGTTTGTGCAGCAGGGAACTATATCGCCATCTGAATTTGTGGGTTAAAGGTGTTTTTAAAAACCAAGAGATAACATCAGTGAATGGATCCAGGTTAGATGAATACATAATAGCCCTGGGCTCTGATTCACACCTACTCCTGAAATACAATAGGTGTATTCACTATCCCCACATGCAGGGTTTTACTCACCTCTAACACATCTGCTGCACACCAGGAAAAAGTGTCTGTAAAAGTGTCTGCAGCTTCAAGCACAAATTTAGAGGTGAGTCAGAACAGAAACCAGTGACAAACCCACCTGTGCTGGCTGTGAAGTCATTACAGTAAATCTCAAAAGGATTGAGACAACAGTTGTGCTGATTTACACTGAGGGCGTGGAGCTCTACCTGTTACCATAGACGAGCATGCGCAGTGGTGAACACCTATGCATCTTATTAAATGAAATCACAGTCCAAATTAGAAACTGTTAAACAAGGAAGCTATAAAAAAAACAGTCAAATATGTTCAAATGTATTTAAGATCATTACCCAGACAGGGAAGTCCTATGCAAATGGTATTCTCTTTAGCAACAGGTCCGTCACAGCAGTGGCTCCCATGTGGGGCCCTACAGACGAGTCCTTGATGAGGCTTTCAGGGACTTTCCAGCAAAGTGACAATTCATTTAAGTTCGCTTTAACTCTAACAACTCAGCTCAAAGAGTTGAAGCACAGGCTGCTAAGCTCCCTGAACCTTTGGCTCTTCCATTTTCCGCCACAATCTCTTATGAGCATGTACAGAAGTAATTTCCTACTACCACCAAATATCTAGCTACAACACGGTGAGTAAATTCAATTAGAGTAATAATAAACAAACATGGGAAACCCAGTTGGGCTACAGTGTTTGTAGCCGACATAAAACGACAACAACAAAGTTGCCAGTAGCCTGTGTTCCCAGCTCCACTGAGCCAGTCCCCTTTCCCTTGAAGTTAGTTTAGTAGCTGGGAGTTGACTCGATGAGCTTCCCCCTAGCAAAACGCACGCAGCTGTATTTGATAACTTACCGACTCCGTACTTCTCTTTCTTAGTTGGAATCCAACGGGTCATGGCGGGAAAGTACGTAAAGTTGGACGAATAAATAAATAACTATATACAATTGCTAAAAGAGGGCGGGCGGTGCACTCCTGCTCGTCCCGAACTCTACAGTTCCGCCATCATAACTCGTTAACAGGGAGGGGGAGAGAAGGGCTAACACGCCTGGGAGATACAAGGGAACATAGGCGTAAACCATGGATTTCCCAAACTACCCCCACTTCACAGCCACCTCAACAGAACAGACGCTGTTTTCACTACGGATTCGTGAAGAACTGTAGGAGGTATTTTGCTCTAGACATCCGTCACAATTCCTCATCAGTACTCAAAATGAGTTAAAACTGAATTAGGGCAATTATAGTGAGGCTGAACTATTCCTCGTTATGCTTCCAGGAGCCCTGATGGTGTTCACTTCAATTTTACAACTCCCTGCGCACACATTTGAAGGCAATAATGGATTAAAACTAGAGTTATAAATCACTGGTGTGTGATGGATTAATTGTCACCAGGTTATTGTTTGTGATTTAAAATGACACTAAATTGCTGCAAGCCACACTGACTGGTGAAAAAGACAGCTATCGTCTTCTGAGTGAGCTTGTTTATATACATGCTCACTTGTTTGAGTTGACTGTACTTCATACAAGCAGTCAGTTGTTTAGAAAAGCATGTTGAAGTATGGTCAAGCCCAGAGTGTTGGAACTCGTCCATCAACGAGGCTACTGACTTTAAATGTCATTTCACCATGGTCAGCAGCCTATATCACACTCCCCACCATCCTTCGCTGCCCAGTGCAGTAATTTACAGCTGCTAGCTGAGATCTGGTCGCCTTTTGTCTGCACATGGTGTGAATGTTTTTTGTTTTGTTTTGTTTTTTGCTGCTGCCACTGGTCAGCCAAATGGTGCTGTCAATAACATCCAGCCATCCAATGCTTTTGTTCCCCCTTTGATAGGGTGAAGTCCTTTTTTCTATCTGTTGTAACATGGTTACTTTAAAACACAGCTTGTGGTGAATAAGTTCCAACACAACACTGCATGATTAAAAGCAATGTTTTTCCCCAAAGGACAGAGGAATTAAACAATTATGTCTGCTAATGCATTGTGAGAGGGTGTTTACAAGTCAAAACTATAATCAAGGAAAGCTTTTAAAAATGTCTTTCGGACAAAAAAAACAAACAATTGTGTATTTTCTACTGTATGTTTAATAAACCTTCCACAGCTAAAGGAGTCAAGCACACTGACTGAGCTCATCCTGAAATTCAGGCATTACAGATGTATTTTGAAGCCATATAGAATTTTCATGGTTATGACTTAAGCTGTTATACATGATTATTGTGGCCTATTTTGGGTTGAGCTGTAGGTGCTTGCTGAATTTATTGTGAGGGGGCTCATGCCATTTTCACCTCTGATTTCACCTCTCCCTATTGCTTTGGCCAAACCTCTCATTCTTATCAAATGTGAAGAATCACTTGTTAGCTTTCAAAAGTTAAAAACAAACAAATCTGTAAAAAAAAATAAATA